TCGAGCGCAAGCCACGCTCATCAGCATCCTCAACTTCTGGAGTCGTGGTCGTGGGAGCGCCTTCGTAAAGGTGTCAGCGATGTTGTCCTCGGAGGGGCAGTAGAATAACTTGAAGGTGCCGTTCTTGACGTGTGAGCGGACGAAGTGGTATCGAAGGTCGATGTGCTTGGTGCGTGACTGGAACTTTCCATTGGATGCTAATGCTATCGCAGCTTGATTGTCACAGAACATGGGAATGGGATGTGGGACGGGGTCGTAGAGCTCTTCAATGAGCAACTGAAGGTAAAGTAATTCGCGTATCACACTGGTCAGGGCGATATACTCAGCCTCTGCCGTGGATAGCGCGATCAGTGGTTGCTTACGGGCACTCCATGCCACTGGCCCTCCGTTTAATAGAATGACATACCCGGACATCGAGTGTCGGTGGGGTTGGGACGCCCAGTCTGCATCCACGAAGGCTTCAAGGCCGCCGTCCGTCGAACTGAGTGTCAGCTCGTAGTCTCCCGTTCCCTTGAGGTAACGTAGCACCCTTTTGGTGGCCTCCCAGTGGGGCCTACCAGGATTGCGCATGAATTGCGACAGCGTCGCAACGGGGAATGCTATATCAGGTCTGGTGCTAGTGGCTGCGTACATCAGCGAGCCAATGGCTCGCTGATACGGCATGTCGCGCATGGCCTGGATCTCCTGCACTGTGGCAGGTCCCTGCTCAACGGACAAGGTAAGTGTTGGCTCCATCGGCGTCTGCGCACTCTTAGCGTCTCCCATGTAGAAGTGTTCGACGATCGTGTCGACATAGGCTTTTTGGGAGAGGGTCAAGGTACGTGCACCACGGTCTCGTGTTACCTTTAGGCCTAACAACCAGCTTAGCTCGCCTAGGTCCGTGATTTCGAAGAATTCGCGGAGGTGGGACTTGAAACGGGTGATGTGGGAGGTGCTGTTGGCGGTGACGGCCATGTCGTCCACGGAAACGGTGATGACGACGTGTTCTCCCGGTGCCCGCCTGTAGTACACTGCCTGGTCCACCTTGGACCGGGTGAATCCTATCTTCGCAAAGACTCCCGCTAACTCCTCAGCCCACTCAAAACCGGCCTGCTTCAAACCAGGTAAGCTCCTTCGCAGCCACAACACCTTTCCTCGCTGACTCTCCGTGAGATAGCCAGGTGGCGCGCGCATGTAAATCTCCTCCTGGATACTGGCATACAGGTACGCACTTTTTATATCGACCTGGTGGATCTCCCAGTCGTTCTGAGCCGCCATTGTCAGCACGGTGCGTATGGTGCTCATGTTGGCTGTCGGCGCGAACGTGTCGAAGTAGTCGACGCCGAATTGCTGCCTCTGGCTGTTGGCAACGAGTCGTGCCCGCAGTTTGAGTTTTTCGCCATCGGGTCCACGTTTCGTGGCCAAAACGAAATGGCAGGGGTTAGAGTGGTGATGGGCTGGACGCTATGAGGTAAGTTATTATTATTACTGTTGCCGCTGTTATGTTCGTTAACAGCAGTAGGCTCCCCCTCGTCCAGTGCATCCACCAGGATCTCCACCGGTGCAAAGGTGAGGTTCCTCTCCACCGATACACGGCGTTTCCCCGGCCAGTACACCCTATAACCCTTGCTTTCAGCGTCTACACCCACAAATACGGCCTCTACAGCCTTCGGCTCTAGCTTCCCACCCCCCAGCACGTGCACAAAGACCTTCGCCCCAAACTCATGGGCGCGCGACAAATCCGGCTTGCACTTTCGCACCAGCTCGTAGGACGTGGTGCCGGGGATGGACCTTGAAGGTAAGCGGTTCTTTAGCCATGCTGCGTAGTTGATGGCTTCTGCCCACAGATACTTTGGTAGGTCCCGTCCTATCAACATCGCCCTCGCGTGCTCCACCAACGTCCAGTTCAGACGTTCGGCTACGCCATTCTGCTGCGGTGAGTCGTGGACTGTCAACTGACGTTCAATGCCTTGCTGACGGAGGTACAGGTCGAATTCGGCGCTAAGATATTCTCCCCCTCTGTCCGAACGGACTTTACGAAGCGTGACAGCCGGCGTCTGACGCGCCAGCCACGCTTCATAAGCCTTGAAGGCGGTAAGTGCTTCGCTCTTCAGTTTCAAGAACTGAACCTTCGTCTGCCTGCTGTAGTCGTCGGTGAAGCTGATGTAGTAGAGGCTCCCGTTTAGACTGGTTGTCTGCGCAGGTCCCCACAGGTCCGTGTGCACTAAGTCTCCATAGGTAAATGCGCGCGTACTGGACTCATCTGGGTAGGGTTTCTGCGTTGACTTCGCCTTCACACAGACATCGCAAAACTCGGGCTTGGATGTGAGGTCCAGCTCTATACCGGTGACGAGGCTCTTCTTCACGGCGTCCATGGCTGCTGCTTGGGAGGTGTGTCCTAGGACACGGTGCAGGCTCCCTACGGTGAGTTTTTGCCTTGCTACATTGGCATGATGCGTCTGACGACGCGCAACGACGCTGTAGAGTCCCTCCAGCTGCGGAATCTCGGCGATAACATGTCGCTTCGGCCCTTGGGAGAGGATCCGGCACATGCGTCCCTTGAAGAGGACTGCTAGGCCAGCCGCCGTTATCCTGTTCGTGGAGATAAGGGTGAATGCCATCCTAGGTGCGTATAGCGCATTTTTCAGCGTCACAGTCGTGCGCTTCTGACCCATTGGCAGCTCTATCTGAACATCACCTTGGCCTATGGCACTTAGAGTCGAGCCGTCAGCCATGTGCACGTCTTGGGGTGGAATGGTGACAAAATTCGTGAATTTGGCCCGGTCTGGGCAGAAATGAGATGTGGCGCCCGAATCTACGATGGCTCCTCTCTTCTCCACTGGTACGTCCAACTGCCCTGCTACGTTCGCTAAATCTGACGTTACGAAAGCATATTGGTCGTCCTGCGCCTCAGATTGGGTGGCTGAGTTGGCTGCCTGCTTCGGCGCCTTCTCACCTCTCCTCTTCTGTTGGTTGGGACCTTGTCCCTCCTTCCCACCACCCGGACGCCAACAGTCGGTCTTGTAGTGGCCTTTCCGGTCACAGTTAAAACAGGTGACGTCCGGATTGGCTTTGGCGGCGCCTGCTGACGCTCTACCTTTCCCTTTTGTTTCTCTCGCGGAGAGGGCGGAGCCAGAGGCTCCCTTTTTGGTGGGACGACGTTCGGTGAGTAGGCGATGCTCATACTCTTCGGTCACGATGCTGATTAGCTCGTAGGAGGTGATCGGAGTTTTGGTTATCCTAGCCGCTGCGCTGATGGAGGATAGGAGTGGTCGGTAGGATTCTGGGAGCGAGCCCAAGATGATGGCGTGGAAGTCGTTGTCGACGATACCTGCGCCCATTCCGGCCAAGGACTCGCGGAGCCTCATGAGCTCTGCGAAGTGGGCCTTAACGTCCCCTCCTTCATCACAGCGTGTCTCTTGCAACCGACGCCGTAAGTCAATTTGCACGAGTTCAGTCTTACCCTCGTGAATCTGACAAATCTCGTCCCAGATCTCGGAGGCGTCCCCAAGCTTCTGGACGCGCAGTAGTAGCCGATCGGTGATTGTGCTAAATATCTGCTGCTTCACGAGTGAGTTTTTCTGGTGATACTCGTCGATCTTGTTATCGAGCTCGTCTATTTCAGTCTGCGATGGCGTTGACCCGTCAGGCTTTTTAACGGCCTTGGTTTTCGGATCGACGACGAAAGGAATAGGCTCGCAGACTCGACCATCGGTATATCACATCAAACCTCGCGCTCCAATAGCCGTTAGTGTTCGTTCTTTGTAAGTAATTCAGTTCGAGCCGTCTTCTGCGAGCTTCGGGATATTGAACAGGCTGGAGTTGGTAGCGGGGAGCGTAGATTCCATGATGGTGGCAGGGCTCATAACCTAAAGGTGTTTATAACGAGCGCGAGAACAACGAGGAGTCTAGAACGAGAAAGATCTCAGTGTCTTGAACGAAACTCAATTACAAACGGTGCGTCTACCTAGAACGAGAAAGCTACAGCTAACGTTAGATGTGTTAACAACTCTAGGTGACTTTTAGAACGTACATCTCAGTGTCTTGAACGAAACTGAGATGCACCTGCGCTACTGGTACTGGTCTTATAGTAAGTGTGTCAGGAACTTGAATATATGAATGAGAGACTGAAAATAATTTAGGATGCGAGCCGATGTCACTCCACCGCTCGCCTATGTCCATTTTGGCTTGAGCTCGTACCTATCACCTCCCGGACATCCTTATCTCGGATCCTTCGGCTTCTCTCGTCTCGGACATCTCGGCTTCGTAGTCCAACACAGTGGTTGCACGCAGATATCAGCAACAGGTCAGCGCACCAATATTTCTGGAGAGAGAGCAGCAAGCTGGAGGCAAGAGACACCAGCAAAGCTAACATGTGCGGAACTTGAGCAGAAAAATATAACCGCGTTCACATTACAAACTCACCTTGCAAAATAAAGAACATGAGATTGTACGAGCACTCTGAAACAGTCCCCGATGGTCGATCCTGTCGATGGGCCGAGTCGTCGCAGGTCACGGAAGTGTTTCACAGCAATCCAGATTGAAAGAGACAATGCGAGGACCTCCCAAACAGTGTTGAGCCCCCAGGCCATTGAAACCAGAAGCTGATTGTTCCCTTCAAGCTCAAAACTGCACATATGCATGTCAGAGAGTATCAGTTCCTCTGGTGTTTATCCAATGAGCCGCGTTCTTCAAGTCAACAAGTAAAGCTTACCCCCTACAATATCGTCGAGTCCTATTACCGCGATCACCCCGCAGGCGATGATTACAGTCAGGAAGATAATAACAAGGAACATAAGCATCTTTATAGATCCCTGATACATGGCATGCAACCGAGCAATCATGATGACTTGCATCATGTGTCAGTCAGGTCAATATCACAGAGGTATTGCACCTGGGTAACTTACCGCCCAACATGGCAGTCACGGCCACATTTGTCCCATTCAATGCGTAGTACATGATAGTGCCTGAAACTCCCAATTAGTGAACGCCCTCGCACTAGTATCAAAGACTCCGACTTACACCTATTGAGCCATTATGTGGAGCCAAGTTCATTGGTTGGAATCTCACTCACCCCTACATATGAGCGTATTGATTGGACGGGAATGAGATGGTTGCAGAATACTCACTGCATCTGTCAGCGATACCGATGGCATATATTCTGTGTCCCGCTGGTCAGAAAAATGGAACACAGTGCATATGAGACATACCCAGAAGAGTAACACTAGTTGTCAGAGATAAGCGATTAGCACAGTGCAAAGTTGTGGGTCTCGACACATACACAGAATACGGTATTCCAATATAGCGTATCTAAAACATTTTGGAGTCAGCACAAGTTGCCCACCACGCTAAAGCACGACATGAGGTACGAACAGTCAAATACAGCACAGTCATGAGAGACCATCGTTGTCTCTGTCGCGAATTAATTGCATGCTCTTGTTTTCTTCTGATACGGGACCCTTGTCACTCACCCAGATGAGTTCAATCTAACACATCATTCTTAGTGAGATAGCTGCTCCGGGGATAACATCAACGTACCTCTTGTCCGAATGTTAAGACTGGAAATATCATGAGAAAATCAGCGATTTTCGAACACTGTCCTGCTCACCCCAATCGTATACCACCACGACGCCTGCGGCAACTGTAAAACCGCAAGTCAACGTTAAATGTAGACATCTTGATGCGACAAACCTGCCCAATAGCCGATAAAAATATCCAAATTGAGGAACGGCCACCAACTGGGATCATTCGAGACGAAAGTCATGTTCGAGGGATGGGTGAGCGAGTGGGGAATGGTGGTGTATAACGACAACGTTCGTGCTAGATATACTACCGTTCAGTGCTCAGCCCTTGTCAGAGATGGATTTTTGCTCACGCCTCAAGACCTTTGATTGGGTGGAACAGTGCAAAGTGAAACAAAAGCTGGCAATCAACAATTCAGTATTACGCACAGGACTACTTGGACACCAGGAAAGTTCCAGCCGTTGGTGATGTCGGTCACTTATTTGAAACACGATTTTTGCTGCAAGGTTGCAAAAATCAAGAGTTTCATGTAGTCATCGATCTAACACAGGTTGAAGTGTGATATGCGTGAAACAAGTATTTACGCACTCTTTGGCATCGCTGGCTGACCCCGAGGCGTAACAGCCCTCCGAGTACTCTTATGGAACAAGTGTCACTCTGCGGAACTCAGACAAGAAACCATGACAGAGTGGGTCTAATATATCTTACCTTGTCCGTCACCTGGTACGCTCGAATAATTGAGCTATTTTATCCAAATGATGTACAAAGAGATGGTAAGCATAAAGCGAATTCGATAGAAAGCGCACTTGATGTCATGGTGATGCAGATGTATTGTACTGCCAGATACATCCTGATTTGTGATTGACTAATTATACGACACCATCGGGGGAAATTGCACACGGGAAAGGCTCATATCGATGGCATCGTGTTTCAGCCATCCTGTGTCGGAACATATCAGTGCCTTAGAGTGTTAAATACATGAAAGCTATGATATAGTTACCTGTGGCGACACTAATTACGGCGACGAATTAAGGCTTTCGAATTGCTATCGACGAAGAAACGGAAACTAGGATCGAAAATAGCTTGTCGAAGGGTCAAAGTTCAAATTCAAAGGTGCTTTGACGGTTGTGCGATGCGTTGTTGTTATAAGTACGAAATGGTCGCGGTGCTTTGCAAACAAACAGTTTGTGACAGCGAATTGCGAATCACAGCTCGATCGACGTACCAAATACACAGTCGGGGGCGAGGAGATAGAGTAGTGATAGGATATGTGACAGTGAGACCTGGCAGGGCCAATTTTGCTGTGGTCGCAGACTTGTTTGCTGAAGTACGTTGGTCACCGGCCGTGTTCAGCAAAGCACTACTATTAGTTATGACCATCGTCCAGAGGAAGGCCTGATCGTTTTGAGGCAGGAGGCTGAAGATACAGATGATCCTGGGCAAAATGAATGAACAAAACAAGGAATTTGCATTCGCGCACCCAACATAATACAAAAAAGGTGCATGCGGAGTCTCCATGTGTTCGCAGCCTTGAATAAGCTTGAATGTTGAACGTTGAACGTTGCAACGTTGAAGCTTCTAAATTTTAATTACATAAAGCCCGCGGCGCTACCTTCGGCGTTTGCGGAGTCAAAAAATGAACCACCTACTGTAACCTTCCAGCTCTGCAAGTAGTGCCGCACCCGTTCCGAAACTCACACCTGTGTCAATTTCTCTTGTTACATCGCCCGCATCGGTCACGGAAGATGAGAATCGACTGGCGTATGTATATGAAGCTCGACGGACAGGCACTATGTCATCGAAGCTAAAGGAACGACTGTCGTATTTGGTCTGCCTGTGACATAGTACTCAAGTATATATATGAGACTAAAGTGTTGCTCCGACTCACCCAGGTCACTTCTTCTTTTGCTTTGCTCGGACACATGATAGAGCCAGCAAAATCTGATCAAAGTACGTATATATGTCAGAATATCGTGATGGGCATCTTACTGATACTTCTCAAGTGCACTTGATGCCTGACGACATACGGGTAGACCTTGTAGAGAAGGGCCATCAGCGAGAACTTTCCAGGCACGCCTCAAACCAAATATGTTCTGTCAATTCGATTGATCTAGATAAACAAAAACAGAATAACAAAATCGGCGATCTAATTCCCGATCACATACTTTTCTTGTCGTTTATGTCGTTGACCATTCTAGGCCGATGACCCTTCTTTCATCCATCGTGCTTCTATTTAGTGCTCGATCACGATTCACATATCCCAATCTCGCCATCGATACACCTCGCACGCGTCTCCATCGATAATGCCCTATCAGACACATCATTCACCAAGGATCATTTGTTTGCCTAGGACTGTGATCCATGTCGACGGTGTATGTATGCATGTATGCATGTCTGTCTCTCGTTCGCTAATGGGTTGTCAGCTACCTGGCTTCACGAGTCGCAGCATCTATTGTCCGGACAGTGAAACATCAACACGCAGAATCAGCGGTCAAGGTACTTTTACTGATTCTCGTTGTATTTCAACAAAGAACTAGATTGGTTACTGGACGTTCCGGATAATTTACCCTTACCACCTGGTTCAAGCGCGGGTAGTACTTCATTCCAGTAGCGATACAACAAGAAATAGCGTTGCCTAAACCTTTCAAATATACCATATGTTAAATAAATACCACGACGGATCCTCCACCAAAATTCGTTTCCCTGCAGGCCACTCGGCAAGCATGTCCTTACACAGTACTGCTAGTTGATACATGTACATGCTCCTGGAAAACAATCGAATTCATGCTAGTTTCTGCATCGGAGTCTGCCACGAGTTTGGCGTGGTGTTCTCGAACACCAAGGATGAGGCGTGGTCCCAGCACAAACATCCGCACGATCGATAAAATTTCATGAGCACCTGCGAGTGTCAGGGCTCCAATAGATTCTGAATCCTACAAAAATGATGAGCAGTGGTTGCACGCAGATATCAGCAACAGGTCAGCGCACCGAGAGTTCTGGAGAGAGAATAGCAAGCTCGAGGCAAGAGACACCAACAAAGCTAACATGTGCGGAACTTGAGCAGAAAAATATAACCGCATTCACATTACAAACTCACCTTGCAAAATAAAGAACGTGAGATTGTATCAGCATTCTGAAACAGTCCCCGATGGCCGATCCTGTCATTGGGTCGAGTCGTCGCAGCTCACGGAAGTGTTTCACAGCAATCCAGACTGAAAGACACAGTGCGAGAACCTCCCAAACAGTGCTGAGCATCCAAACCATTGAATACAGAAGCGGGTCGTTCCGTTCAAGTTCAATATCGCACATATGCATGCCAGAGAGTATCAGCTCCTCTGGTGTTTATCCAATGAGCCGTGTTTTTCAAGTCAACAAGTAAAGCTTACCATCTACAGCATACTGGAGGTCTATTCCTGTGATCACTACGCAGGTGATATTTACAGCCAGGAAGATAATAACAAGGAAGATAAGCATCTTTCTAGATCCCTGATACATGGCATGCAACCGCGCAATCATGATCACTTGCGTCGTGTGTTAGTCAGGTCAATATCACAGAGGTATTGCACCTGGGTGACTCACCGCCCAACATGGCAGTTACAACTAGATTCATCACATTCCCTGTGTAGTACATGATAGTGCCTAGAACTCCCAATTAGTGAGCACCCTCGCACTAGAATCAGAGACTCCGACTTACACCTATTGAGTCATTATGTTGAGTTAAGTTCAATGGTTGGAATCTCACTCACCCCTACATATGAGCGTATTGATTGGATGCGAATGAGATGGTTGCAGAATACTCACTGCATCTGTCAGCGATACCGATGGCATAACTTCTGTGTCCCGCAGGTCAGAAAATGGAACACAGGGCATATGAGACATACCCAGAAAATTGAGACTGATTGTCAAAGATGAGCGATTAGCACAGTGCAAAGTTGTTGATCTCGACACATACACAGAACACGGTATTCCAATATAGCGTATCTAAAACATTTTGGAGTCAGCACAAGTCGCCCACCACGCTAAAGCAAAACACGAGGTACGAACACTCAAATACAGCACAGTCATGAGAGACCATCGTTGTCTCTGTCGCGAATTCATTGCATGCTCTTGTTTTCTTTTGATACGGGGCTCTTGCCACTTACCCAGATAAGTTCAATCTATGACACCATTCTTAGCGAGTTGGCTGCTCCAGCGATAACATCGACGTACCTCTTGTCCTAGTGTTAAGGCTGGAAATCTCATGAGAATATCGGCGATTATCAGACGCTGTCCTGCTTACCCCAATCGCATATCACCACGACGCCAGCAGCAACTGCGAAAATGCATGTCAACGTTAGATCTGGACATCCTAATACGACGAACTTGTGCAATAGGTGAAAAAGATATTCAAACTGATATATGGCCAGTCACTGGGATCATTTGAGACGTAAGTCATGTTTGAGGGATGGGTGAGCGAGTGGGGAATGTCAGTGGTGTATGATGATAGTGTTCCTGCTATATATACCACTGTTCAGCCCTTGTATCGCCACAATCGGCGTGATGGAGATAGAAATTCGATTTCGCCTCAAGATCCTTGATCAGGTGAAAGGGTGCGAAATCAAACAAAAAGCCGGGAATCAAAGTAGACTTTTATTTCCAACTCACTATTACGCACGGGACTACTTCAACACCAGGAAAGTTCCAGTCGTTCTTGATGTCGACAACTTATTTCCAACACGATTTTTTGCTTGTGTTTGCTGCGAGCTTGGAAAAATTGAAGAGTTCCCTATGAAATCATGTGGTCATCGATCTAACACAGGTCGAAGTGTGATTGATATACGTGAAACAAGTATTACACACTCTTCGGCATCGCTGGCTGAGCCCGAGGTGTGATATCCCCCCGATTACTCTTATGGAACAAGGGTCATCTTGCGGAAGTCAGACAATAAACCGTGACAGAGTGGGTCGAATATATCTCACCTCATCTGTCGCCTGGTACGCTCGAATCATTCGGCTATCATGATCATATCAGAATGATGAACGGAGCGATGGTAAGAATAGAGCAAATCCGATGCAAAGCTCACTATGTTCAATGCATCATGCACATCATGTCATGGTGATGTATTGTACTGCCAGATATATGCTGAAAATTTCACAAGGAAGACGATGAGCGACGCACCAGAAGCCTAATTTCTGATTGTACAGGCTCATCTCGATGGCATCGTGTTTCTGTAAGCATGTAACAGACTAAGATTGAACCCCCTCGTGTGCTGAAGTCAGACGGACCATCACAGGGTAGAAGCTGACCAAGATAACACAGCACGACGCAAGTAGGGAACGCCGATAACCGGAATAGCCGGAGCGGATCAGCGTAGCACGGAAGAGAATGAAGACCGTACTTACAATAGAATTCAGTCGAATTATTAATTGGCCTTCTAGGCACGCCTTGAACCAATTCTGTCAATTCGATCAATCTAGATAAATAAAAACCTGAATAAGAAAATCGGTGATCTAATTCCCGATATCGGTTTTCGTTCGTCCTAATGTGCGTCTTCCAGGACAATTCCAGGATTTGTATCATCATCTGTGCCTTATCTAGTCTGGCATCTATTCTAGGTTGTGCTTCTACGCCATCGATTCACCTTGCGTCTCTATCGATAGTACCTGCAGGAATAGCTGTTCTCCTCAACATTCCTGCAAAATACCTTCGAAGAGTGATCACCCGCCTACCTAGCTAGGACTGTGATCTATATTTATATCTCGTTCGGTGCTTTACTCTGATAGTCGCGCTCAGCGAGGGCTCCAACAGAATATCGCAGTCGATGCCTCATCAGGAGTTTGATAGGTACGCTGGAGGTCTTCTGGAACCTCTGATTTTCTTATTCTCCGCTCATCACTCAGCAGACACCATATCCTTGTCATGCTCATTCGCGAGAGACACGTACAGTCAAGCCATGAGTCCACGCGATTCATCATTTCATTCTCCGTAGCCCGTCGAATGGGAAAAAATGCATCTGAGCACTGATGAGTTATCAGCCATCTGGCTTCACGAGTCGCAGTATTTATATGTCCGGACAGTGGAACACCAACACGCAGAATCAGCGGTCAAGGTACTTATACTGATTCTCGTTGTATTTCAACAAAGGACTAGATTGGTTACTAGACGTTCCCGATAATTTGCCCTTACCACCTGATTCAAGCGCGGGTACTTCATTCCAGTAGCGATACAACAAGAAATAGCTTTGCCTAAACCTTTCAAATACACCATATGTTAAATAAATACCACGACGGATCCTCCACCAAATTTCGCTTCCTGCAGGCCTCTCGGCAAGCATGTCCTTACACAGTACTGCTAGTCGATACATGTACATGCTCCTGGGAAACAATCGAATTCATGCTAGTTTCTGCGTCGGATCATGCCACGAGTTTGGCGTGGTATTCTCGAACGCTAAGGATGAGGCGTGGTCCCAGCACAAACATCTGCACGACCGATAAAATTTGACGAGCACCTGCGAGTGTCTCAGCTCCAATAGAATCTGAATTCTACAGAAATGATGAGCAGTGGTTGCACGCAGATATCAGCAACAGGTCAGCGCACCAAGAGTTCTGGAGAGAGACCAATAAGCTGGAAGCAAGAGACACCAGCAACGCTAACATGTGCGGAACTTGAGCAGAGAAATATAACCGCGTTCACATCACAAACTCACCTTGCAAAATATAGAACATGAGATTGTATCAGGACTCTGAAACAGTCCCCGATAGTCGATCCTGTCGATGGGCCGAATCGTCGCAGCTCACGGAAGTGTTTCACTGCAATCCAGACTGAAAGAGACAATGCGATGACCTCCCAAACAGTGTTGAGCACCCAAAACATTGAAAGCAGAAGCTGCCCGTTCCCTTCAAGTTCAAAAGCGCACATATGGATGCCAGAGAGTATCAGCTCCTCTGGTGTTTATCCAATGAGCCGCGTTCTTCAAGTCAACAAATAAAGCTTACCCCCTACAGTATTGTCGAGTCCTATTACCAGGATCACTCCGTAGGGGATGTTTACAGCCAGGAAGATAATAACAAGGAACATAAGCATCTTTCTAGATCCCTGATACATGGCATGCAACCGAGCAATCATGATCACTTGCGTCGTGTGTTAGTCAGGTCAATATCACAGAGGTATTGCACCTGGGTGACTCACCGCCCAACATGGCAATTACAACTAGATTTATCACACTCTCTGTGTAGTACGTGATAGTGCCTAAAACTCCCAATTAGTGAAAATCCTCGCACTAGAATCAGAGACTCCGACTTACACCTATTGAGTCATTATGTTGAGTTAAGTTCAATGGTTGGAATCTCACTCACCCCTACATATGAGCGTATTGATTGGATGCGAATGAGATGGTTGCAGAATACTTACTGCATCTGTCAGCGATACCGATGGCATAGTTGCTGTGTCCCGCTGGTCAGAAAAATGGAACACAGTGCATATAAGACATACCCAGAAGATAAACACTAGTTGTCAGAGATGAGCTATTAGCACACTGCAAAGTTGTTGATATTGACACATACACAGAATATGGTATTCCAATATAGCGTATCTGGAACATTGGGGAGTCAGTACAAGTTGCCCACCACGCTAAAGTACAACACGAGGTACGAACAATCAAATACAGCACAGTCATGAGAGACCAACGTTGTCTCTGTCGCGAATTCATTGCATGCTCTTGTTTTCTTCTGATACGGGACTCCCAACCAAAGTCCTGTGCCATATTTTTATTCACTCTCCCAAAAACCGCCTAGACGCTACCTGAATCAAATTCATATTCTATTCTACTCGTAACTCACCAGGGTATGCCGTCGATGGAGGAATGTTTCCGTGGACCGTCGTGGTGCAGATTCATATTATCTATAAGAATCAACTGGGAAAACTTGCAGCAGCAGCAGTTCTTCTGCTGTGACTCAAAGGCTCAGGTGCACGCGAGGATACTCCCTCTCCCCAGAAGTTGACATGTGCTTAAAACATGACTCTATCTCTTCATGAACCCTTCTACAAGCTTACATGTCCTCTCTCAGTGTCACATTAGCATTAGCCTAAGTGCGTATATTCCTTATACTCAAGAGCACTCTACACTACAATCCATCTGACCACCCATCTCCCGACCTCCACTTTACGCACTCTCAGGCTCGAGTTCAAAGTATTGTCTCGTTCTACCCTCGACCTCTCAACCCTGTATGGGCCTGTCAATTCTGACAATTTATAGATAAAAGCGACACGTCGTTCGCATGCGCTTGGCTCAAATCAGCTCCCAACCTCTCCTCTGCAAACTCTGAGTCATGCATGAATCTCACCTAGGACCCACTTACCCACACCAATATTCAATCGTTGTCTGTCATAGCTAGCCCAAGTGATGAGTTCGACCCAATTCGTCCTGTGCAAGGTAATGGTCGACCTGCGCACACGGAACATGCATATGGTCGCCTTGTTTCAATCCGAATACAAGAGTACCTTAGTTCCATCTTGAGCGTTGGCGAGTGCCACTGCCACACATCGAACATCACACACGTCAAAAAAACCGTAAAATTGCATGCACGACACTCATCAAATAAAAACGACCAGTCACGACATAATATATATCTATACCATTATGAACTCTCCACGATCCAAAATTCGAAAGAAAGCATTGACGTCGATAACAAAATGGATGTGAATGTGGACGTGTAGACTGGTTTGGCTCGTAGATGGGCTGGTCACAAGCCTATTGGACGTGTACGTGGTAACATGCGGGGTTGAGTGGAGTTGTATCTAACATGTGGAGTGGGCGCAACGCAAGCCTGAGCGCGAGTTAACACAGGTTATGCGTACATGACGGTCGTGGCCGTGTGCAAATGACGATCGTGTTGTGCATATATGCAAGTGGGTGATGTGTACAAGGATGTCGGTAAATGGATATGCATGTATAACAGTGCATCTGGGCGGGCTTTGGCATCAAACGGAAGACGTACAACGACGTGGCAGTGTACAACACAAGGTGGCACCGTACAACACGAGGTGGCAACATACAGCGAGGACACGCGTACAACGAGGTACAAAGCCCATGTGGGAATAATCAATTCTTCTGATACAGTGGTTGAGATGAGACGGGCCTAACGCGTCAGGTCCTGCGATAGCGCACGTATACGGCGCATGAGCTCGCAGCTTCACCGAGCTCGCCTGACGAGCTTCAGACGGGCTCGCTGGTATAACCAAAAATCCTATAATCCTGATGTGGATCAGGAAAAATTATCGCTACATTGATATTGTGTTGAGTCGTGGTGTGTGGGATTTTGGGGCGGGTGTGATGTGTGGGTTGTGTGATAGTGATGAGGTGCACAAGGCTGTGGCGATGAGGTGAATGTGATGAGGTGAATAAGACGAGGAGGTGAATGCAGGTACAACAAGGCATACAACAAAAGAGGTGGACCGCGAGTGCTCCAATCCAGCGAACGACGACCAGCACAATTCACCCAAGCGCAAATCTCAGCGTACTATCCGCTTCTCCGATGGAAACTGGCTGCGTCATCGAGCCCATTCCTATTCCTTGCCCGCCCGCGCCCATGCCTAGACTCTGTGCCCCCATACCGAGACTCTGCGTCCCGCCTAATCCAGCTTGCGTCCCTCCTAAACTCCCTACCATACCCTGTGCCCCTCCTAAAACGCCCATATTCATACTCTGCGGCACACCATCGGCACCCATGCCCTCGCCGCCCCCTTGCGTACCCTGCGCTCCAAGCTCATACCACCCCGCGCTTCCCGTCCTGTCCCCTTCAAGCATTGCGAATAAGAAACTCGTCCATTCGCCTGGTACAGCGTGGGCGTGGGCATGTGTGTGAGGTGGGTCTTCGTGGGGGTTGGGATGCGGATGTGGGTCTTCATGCTGTTGGGGTGCGTGTGGAGGTTGGTGCTCGGTGAGCTGCAGTGGTTGTGGGTTCTCGTGCCTCGCTATATCCTCTTTGCGCAGTTGCTCCATACCCATACCCAGGTTCTCTCCACACTGTATGGGCTGCAGATGCATATGATCTCCCCCATGTCCCAAGCTCAGCCGTCTCCTCTCCCCGCTCTTCCCATATACTTGCACACATCCCCACCTCCCCCACTCGCTCAGCCGCCTCCTGTCAGGAGGAGTGCCACGCCCCATGAATGCTCGGGGAGGCTCGGAGAGGAGGGTTACGTGGAGGGAGGAAAGGGGTGGAGTGCGTGGGAGGGTGGGAGAATGTATTTGAGGTGGCGTTTGGGGTGAGTGTATCGGTGGTGGGGGTGTTGGTGTTGAGGGAGATGCGGGGGTTGAGGAAGGCGTTTGTGTGGTCGTTGATGTAGGGGTAGAAAGACGCTGGGGAATCGGAGGAGAGGGCGTTCGACGTGGAGGGGAACACGGCGGGGAGGCACATAAAGGGCGTGGAATAGGCATCGTGTCCAATAAAGACCGCCCAGGCGGCGATGTAGATCTCGGAGGTGATGTAGCCTGTTTCTGCGGTGTAGGCGCTATCGGTGGCAAAATTGACGGAACAGTCGGTACCGTAGGAGTCACAATCGCCGGGACACAAGGCGTCACAATTGCCTTGGCACCTTCAACATCCATCGAAAACAATCCGTCTTCACCCTCTGCATCTTCTTCGTCATCATCATAATCATCATCATAGTCACCAGAAAGGTCACATTCATCCAAATCTTCGTCTTCATCCTCTTCGTCATCCATATCAAAATCAATAGCTTCAAATGCAGCTGACTTGTAGGTGTAGCTTGCGCGTTCGAGGTAGGAAGCGGGTGTGTAGAGACGAAAGCGGGTGTTGGAGGAGTGGGTGGATGGGGAGGGGAAAGTGGCGCGTGCCTCGGATGCGACAAGGGCTTTGATTGTGTCTGTGCCGTAACGACGAAGTCTGGGGGACGTCAATGGTGTGGAATCAAAATGAAACTAGGAGACTAACAAGAATTCTACTCGTTCTTGACATGCTAATTTCCAGATGTTGACTTCTCGATCGCGATGTGGGGCGGGTGTGTAGTCAAACGAGTTTGGTTGCGAGAAAGTGGCTGGGATTGTGTTAGACGATGGTAAGAATGAACAAGGAGAACATACGTTGTTGGGGGTATCCGTTGGATTGGTTGTATCCATTGGTATACTCTTGGTCAGGGAATGCTGTATTTGAAAAGGCATTGTCTTCAGAGTGAGAAAAATCGGGTTGGGGGATGAACTGGTGAGAGAAGCCAGTGGAGAAGGAGGTTGGGAATGAATTCGACCCGAAAGGACCGGGCTGGGATGATGGAAAGGGGATTGTATTTGGAGAGAAAGGATTTAAATCTGCGGGAGGGGAAAATGTCGGATTTGACACAAAGTCTGAAGAGTTGGTATAAGATGGGTCATTTGGAGGGAATTCGGGTAAAGGATCTAATGGGATTAAAGAGTCAAGGTCGAGTGGCGTCGACGACGGCGTCGGTTTGGTCTCCGTCGTTGGTTTTGACTCCGTCGACAACTTGGTCTCCGTCGTGGGTTTTGACTCCGTTGTCGACTTGAGCTCCGTTGATGCAGGCTCGTCATGATCCTTGGGCGCTAAAATACTTGGTTGATCCGCGAGGACATTACGAAGGGATTCTTGAGTTGTAACTGGTTGTATAGGTAGATCGATGATTGTTGGTGCTAGAGGTGGAATGTGGCGTGGCTTTGGCACGTTTTGAGCACGGGTTCTGACTCGTACTTGGCGGATGCGTCGACGCACCTCGCCGACGTTACCATGAGCGACATTCGTATTATCATTCTCTTTACGTCTCTTTCTCCTATGGTTGGTCTCTATATGAGGTAGTAGAAGACCGTCCGAGTCAAGAGCTAGACGCTGACGTTTGAGGGCTCTGAGTGCACGTGGGGTGAGCTCGTCATTCTCGCTTGTAGAAGAAGTATGCAGTTCTTCCAAGTTATTCAAAGGACGTCGTTTAGTTGTATGGTGATGATGATAATGATGAGGGTGTTGTGCTATTCGGGTGGAACGGCGAAGGACGAGGTCAACGGCAGCCATAGACAACGAGTCCAGTACAATTCGATCAGGAAATAGAAATTGCAAAATGAATCCACAATCAACGAATCACGTAAGCGTGCACGGACCATATCACGTGTTACTCGCGACATGTTAAACCCCCTTTTACGCCGCATCATGAATATTTAGTCTCGCATTTACTAACTTACCTACTGAAGTTCTTATGCAATATTTTCTTCCTCTCCCTTCCCTCAAGATCCATTGTCTACCTTTCTTCACGCACTCACGCTCCCCAATCTAAGCGAGCTTAACATTGGCACGAGATTCTGGACTGGTGAAGAGTTGAAGGGTGTTGATAGTCTTGTGGTCGGAATAGCTGTTGATATCTGCATATGAGGCTGGATTTCAGGATTGTTATGAGCAGCACTACTGGTGAGCAGGGCACTTCTTGGCTTTGAACAATCTGCATTCCGCAAAGGTATACGTTATTTTATTCCTGACCCGTTCTGTATCAAATGATGGTCAACCTCCGCACGCGGACCATGCAATCAATGTGCTCGGTCCCAAAGGCCTACGGCAGCCAAAGAAATTAAGGGGTCCGAGTCTGCCGCAGCCAGGGAAACCACAGCACGAAGCTCTAGTACCAAATAGTCGATCGAGGAATAGAAATGGCAAATTGAATAATCAAATGCAATTGCACGACACACTCAAGCTAACCGGAGGTGTGCTCAAGATCGAGGGCAGAAAGACCAACTGAAATCTGGAGACTGGGAATGTTAACTCCATACGAGCTTCAGCCGGACACCGCTACTCTGAGTGGACGAGCCGACAGTCACGGTCATCACGATCAAGTACTTTCAATGTACCTTTGGCCAGAGATGCAACATTAGGAGGTATGGATAACGATAAACCATGTGCCCACATCTGATCCTCCCCGCCGACTGAACCTCGTTATTTGAATGGCCGCAATATTCAGAGGAAACTCACCATAAGGATTTGCCGGCAAAACGGGACGGACGTGAGTGTTCAATTCATTTAGCAGAATATTGGGGTCTTCTAAGAATATGGTTGGACTAGAACGATGAAAAGAGACAGGTCGAGTTCAGCAAAGAGTGCAAAGAGCCTATCAAACAGACTTCTTGGGCCAACAGGAACTGAGGAAGCGATAAGAGACGAAGCGACGTTGCTGAGAAGTGGCAAGCTTGCGCTCGAATACATAGCTTGTTTGGAGGACATGTCGACAAGCACTGGGAACCAGTGACTAGCAGTAAGCTGTGTAGTTGATGCGCCAGTGGTCGCGGCCGTTGCCGCAGCAGTGGCGCAGCATGTTCAAGATGCCTGCGGCGTTTTCACGATTGTGTCATTTGCCGTGTTTAAATGAGCTCTAACTAGAAGAGGTGTTACAGCCGACTATCCATCATGTAACCATCATGGATAGTACGAGCGCTGAGCGCTGGACAGTGGTATATCTAACACGAGCACCAGGATCGTTACACACCCACATTTGCTCACACCCATCCCTCGAATATGACCGTCGTCCTAAATGATCCCAGTTGGTGGCCGAAAATCAATTCGAATGTTTTTTATAGCTATTGGATACGTTCGTTGCACCAAGATCTCTCGATCTAGTGACATTGACTTGCGTTTCGCAGTTGCCGCCGGCGTCGTGGTGGTATACGATTGGGGTGAGCAGAACAGTGTTCGAAAACTACCGAGATTCTTATGATATTTCCAGCACTAACACTAGGACAAGAGGTAGGTCGATATTATTGTCGCAGTAGCCAGCTCGCTGAGAACGGTGTTAGATTGAACTGATCTGGGTGAGTGTCAGAGTCACATATCAGGATACTAATGAATTCGCGACAGACGCATCGTTGGTCTCTCATGACTGTGCTGTATTTGATTGTTCGTACCTTATATTGTGCTATAGCATGGTTGGCGAGCTGTGCTGATTCTCCAATGGTCTAGATACGCTATATTGGAATACCATATTCTGTGTATGTGTCGAGGCCGAGAGATTGGCACCGTACTAATAGCTCACCTCTCACGATCAGTGTGTATATGTTGGGTATGTTTTATATGCGCTGTATTCGATTCTTCTGACCTGCGGCACATAGCATTTGCGCCATATATCTCGTTGACAGATGCAGTGGGTATTACGCAACCATCCCATTCCCATACAAATGAATACACTCATTTGTAGGGGTGAGTGAGATTCTGAACATCGAACTTGGCTCGACATAATAACTACACAGGTGTGAGTTGGAATGTTTAATCCTACTACGATGGTGATCACTAATTGGGTGTTTCAGGTAATAACATGTACTACGCAATAAATGGGACAAATGTGGTTGTAACTGCCATGTTGGGCGGTGAGTTACCCAGCTGCGATACCTCAGTGATTGACTCGACTGGAACATGATACAAGTCATCATGATTGCTCGGTTGTATACCATGTACGAGAGATCTAGAATGATCCTTATCATCCTTGTTTTTATCTTCCTGGCTGTTAATATTGCCTGCGGAGTCGTGACGGCAATAGCACTCAAGTATACTATACTGGGTAAGCTTTACTCGTTGACTTGAATGATGCACCTCATTTGACGAACGCCAGAGGAGCTGATCATTTCTGGCACATATATATGCGATCTCGGATATGAGGGAAATGTCTGGCTTCTGAACTCACTGAATTGGATGCTCTACACTGTTTGGGAGGTCCTCGCACTGTGTCTTTCAGTCTGGATCGCTGTAAAACACTTTCGTGACCTGCGACGACTCGGCCCATCTCGGACAAGGTCGACCATCGGGGACTGTTTCAGAGTGCTGATAAAATCTCACGTGCTTTTTTTTGCAGGGTGAGTTTGTAATGTGCATGTGGTGATTTTTCTGTGCTGAAGTTCCGCACGTGCTAGCTTCGTCTGTGTCTCTTGTCTTGAGCTTGCGATTCTTTCTCCAGAGCTTGCGACTCTCACTCCAGGGCTCGTGGTGCGCTGACCTATTGCTGACATTTACGTGTAACCACTGCTAATTATTCCTGTAGAATTCAACTTCTATGGGCACTCAGATACTTGTTGGTGTTCTTCCGATTTTCTTGGGCGTGCAGATGTTTGTTCTGGGACCACGCCTCATCCTTAGCATTCGAGAATATCACGCTAAACTCGTGGCTAACTCCGATGCAGAAACTAGCATGACTTCAATTGTCTTCCAGGAGCGTGTGCATGTATCAACTAGCAGTACTGTGTAGTGCCACACCGTATTCAAGGACTTGATCTCCGTGAATCTGATCTCTTCACCTCCGGCATAGATTTATCGATAACGTCTGCGAGACGGTTCGGGTGTTTCTTCAATTCTAAGCATGTATTGTTAAAAGATTATGAGGCTAAAATTGTACCAAAGTTCATGCAATCTACATGTGTTCTTGGTTCAGAGGATCATCGAAGACACTCCTTCTTTCATCACACACTTGGACATATTGAAATGTGCACAGCGAACGACCTGCGACATCACTACAACTTGACATGCCTCTGAAATAAATATAAATCAATGAAGATACTGCACATCAAGCTTGAAGCCGTCCACCTTCTCCCTTGTGCTGTTCTTCAACATTCACTGACATCAATTTTTTGTTAAGGTATCGCCAACGTATATGAAATATCCCATTCAAACACCGGCTAGGAAGCTCTTCTCCTTTGGCAGACACCCTGATAAATGGTCGAGTACATGGAGTGCGTTCTGCGGGCGTCATCGAATGGAGGTCAGCAAGATCGGACACATTGACAAATGCTGATTGGAGAGCTTCGTCTGACAGGTAGTGAACTAGCACAGGACGCAGCGACCAATTCATGAAAAGTACAGGTGGTCGCGGCTCGCCATATAGCACTGGAACGAAAGAACAAAAAAGGAGCAATGAGAAGTGGTAACAGGATGTGAGCTTGCGTGAGTGTTGTACGGCGTGCTGGATGGTGTAGATGGCATTGGTATCCATGTATGGCTGAATATAGTGTCGTGAAAGAGTAACTTGGAGGTCAAAAGGAGGGACTCCGGGGCCGGAGGGCACGCAAATAAATTGCAAATGAGCAGCACAGCATGACGGGGTGGACAGCATTGACACCGAGCCGGCGGCTATTCGTTAGATATATATGTTAGACATAGGCCTAGTGGCGGCACTGGCACAACATTTTCACGATGCCCTCGGCTAGCTTACTAGTATAGAGCACTGGCATGATTTGCCGTGTTCAAATGGGTTCTAACTAAAGGAGGGTTTTTCAGGGTTTTTCCTGATGAAAATTCAGGTACAACCAGCTATCCATCACCATCATGTAACCGTCATGCCGATTTTGGTGATATTACCAGCCCTGACTCGGAGCGCTGAACGGTACTAGGTATATTTGACACGAACACTAGATCGTTACACACCACAACATCCCCCACTCGCTCACCCATCCCTCAAATATGACCGTAGTCTCGAATGGTCCCAGTTTGTGGCCAGTAATCAATTCGAATGTTCTTTTCAGCTATTGGATAGGTTCGTCTCATTAAGATGTCTCGATCTAACATTGACTTGCAGTTTCGCAGTTGCTGCCGGCGTCGTGGTGGTATACGATTGGGGTGAGCAGGACAGTGTTCGCAAACTGCTGACATTCTTATGATATCCAGTATTAACACTCGGACGAGAGGTAGGTCGATGTCATCTTCGGAACAGCCAACTCGCTAAGAATAATCTTATAGATTGAACTGATCTGGGTGGGTGACAGAGCTCCATATCAGAAGAAAAACAACAAATACAATAATTTTTGCGCAGAAGCAACGCAGGTCTCTCATGACTGTGCTGTATTTGGTTGTTCGTACCTCATGTTGTGCTATAGCGTGGTTGGCAAGTTGTGCTGACTTCAAAATGTTTTAGATACGTTATATTGGAATAATATTTTCCGTGTATGTGTCGAGGCCAACAGATTGGTACCGTGCTAATAGTTCATCTCTGACAATCAGCACCAATATCCTGGGTATGTCTCGTATACGCTGTGTTCGATTCTTCTGACCGGCGGCACATAGCATTTGCGCCATTTATCTCGCTGACAGATGCAGTGAGTATTACGCAACCATATCACTCCCATCCAAATGAATACAATCATTGTAGGGGTGAGTGAGATTCTGACGATTGAACTTGGCTCGACATAATAATTGAATAGGTGTAAGTTGGAGTGTTTGATCCTAGTACGAGGGTGATCACTAATTGGGATTTTCAGGCAACATTTTGTACTGCGTAATAAATGTGATAAGTACGGTCGTGACTGCCATGTTGGGCGGTGAGTTACCTATCTGCAATACCACTGATGTTGACTCGACTGAAACATGATGCAAGTCATTATGATTGCTCGATTGCATACCATGTATGGGAGATCTAGAATGATCCTGTCAATCCTTGTTGTTATCTTCCTGGCTGTCAACATCGCCTGCGGAGTAATGGCGGCACTAGGGCTCAAGGATACTGCAGTGGGTAAGCTGTACTTGTTGACTCCAAGAACAACATAGCTCATCGGACAAACACCAGAGGAGCTGATAATCTCTGGCACATATATGTGCCATCTTACACTTGAGGGGAATGCCTGGTTTCTGAACTCAATGTCGTGGATGCTCTACACTATTTGGGAGGTCATCGCACTGTGTCTTTCAGTCTGGACTGCTGTGAAACACTTCCACGACCTGCGACGACTCGGTCCATCGACAGGATCGACTATCGGGGACTGTTTCAGAGTGCTGATGCAATCTCATGTTCTTTATTTTGCGAGGTGAGCTTGTAATGTCAATTTAGTTTTCTTTTTCTCAAGTTCCGCGCGCGCTAGCTTTGTTGGTGTCTCTTGCCTTGAACTTACAATTCCCTCTATAGAGCTCATGGTGCGCTGACCCGTTGTCAACATCTGCGTGCAACCGCTGCTCATCGTTTCTGTAGAATCAAAGTTCTTTTGGAACTCAGATACTTCTTGGTGCTCTTCCGATTTTATTGGTTGTGCAAATGTTTGTGCTGGGACCACGCCTCATCCTTAGCGTTCGAGAATATCATGCCAAAATCGTGGCTGACTTCAATGCAGAAATTAGTATAACTTCGATTGTCTTACAGGAGCGTGTACATGTACCGACTAGCAGTACTTTGTGGTACCACGTCATATTCAAGGAGACTTAGTCTCGCCGAATCTAATATTTTCGCCTTCGGCATCAGCTTATCGACAACGTCTGTTATCGGAAGGACCATGATAACCCTCTGATATCACTACAACTTGATATGCCTGTGAAATAGATCAACGAAGAAGCTGATACGTTGGTAATCACTGTACATTAAGTAAGCCGTCCATCTCTCTCTCGTACTCTTCTTCAACAGCTACTGACAATACTTTGTTGAACCAGGTATCGCCAACGTGTATGGCATTTACCATGCAGTTGAGAAGCTCCTCTCCCTTGGTAAACACCCTAATAAACAGTTGTGTAGATGGGGTGGGGAGATCGTGTTCTGCAAGGGTTATCGAACGGAGGTCAGCAATATCAGACGTATCGATAAATGCTGGCTGGCAAACTTCGTCTGACAGGTACTAATGAAGTGGCACAGGACGCTGGTTCTGCATTGGAATCGCAGGCAATCTGACATGGCTTTCAAGGTATCTGCGGCGAGTCTGCATAGAAGGCGACCGGGGCACCCTGGCAGATCAAAATCAGTTTTATCTATTCATAAAGTCTGATGCTCCCATCGCTCGGATGGATTGCGCTTGACATGGAGATTCAGGATGATATGATGTCCCAATCTCTGATAGTATATTGAAAACTCACGAACAACGTTTTCACCAAAGGTAAGGATGATGAAAGCGGATCAGAGGACGTGAAAGAAATAAGGCCTTCAAGAGTCACTAGTCAAGTGTGAACGAGCTCCGCATGGAGAATGAGAGGACAAAAGGGATCTTCGCGATTGCTCTACAAAGCCGACCATAGACGAAACTATGGATGGAACCAACACCTCGAAAGATAGCGTAAATGCCTGAAAGTAGCCTATGAATCCCAGAGGACAGTTTGTATTTCGCCCCAGAATTACGAATGGGCTTGTGAAGCTTGGCAATGAATCTGTTCTCATATTCTTAAAATTAGACCGACCTCACTGGAGAATTGTCAACCCATACCTGCCCCTTTTCCACCGACCAGAACAGTGGTGATCTCGAAAGGCAATACGTACCGTATGATGGCTACACACGGCCATACACGAATCGCTTCTTGGTTTAGCACCAAGTGGCACCCTGACTAGGACCCCGAAAAATCCCGGATCCCAGCACTGCGCTCACCAGCGTTCTAGACGTCTCAGACGTCAAACCTCTCGAACCTAATACTAATAAAACGCCAGTCCAACTCCAACAGACTCACTGTTGTTCCTAGAGTCGAATGGCCACCGGGAAGTCGCGTCCAATGCCCTTGGGGACCGGCAATACGAGCACTCGTGCTCCTACTCCCACAAATAGAATCAGAGCGTCCCATCGAAACACAGTATCTCTACTGTTAACGAGAGATGAAATTATGCAGCAAGAGTACGATGTCAAGAATAATGAAAGCAGCATCACCTTTCTAGAGAAGTCCCCCTTCCGTCATCCAGGCGAGCCAATGTCAAACGAAAGTCTTATACTTACAATTCTTCACATCACCCAATACACAGGAATCCCTCGCACAGCTATAGAAGGTCTCAGAGCCGTCGCAATACTCTTAGAAGACAACCTCACGAACAGCCCACCACAAACGCCATCATCAACCACCAAGCAACTAGCCGACTCCCTTACGACATCACTCTCAGCCCAAATCGTAGCCGACCTCTCGTCATCACTTTCAGCACACGTTATAGCAGCTATCTCACCTCAAATAGCCTCCATACTCACCACCTCAGAGAGCCTCAAGTCAAACGTAGAAGACCTAGCGAAACTCAAATCAGACATGGAGGCTAATTCTGAAAACACCAGCACCACCACCTCAGCATCAGCAGCCGCTACCCGAGCAGAACAAGCAACCGACGCTATTTTAAATAGTATCACTGACGTAAAGAATGCCCTACTGACAGCTAGGCCCCCCTCAACCCAGCCGAACAACCCTCTCTCTTACAGCGCAGTAGTACGGCAAAACACACAGACCCCAGCCCCAGTCTCGGCAGCCCTCTTACGCGCCGCAATTAAGGAACGTCAGATCCTAATTGAACCGGCACTCGGCGGAAGATTATACGAACCCGAAGACAGCTCGGTAGACATCGCTAAGAAACTCAAAAACACCTTTGCTGCAATCTCGGATGGAGAATCTCCTGACATTCAAATCAAAGCCACCACACGACTACGAAACGGTGGCCTAATTGTTGAACTAACCACAGCAGAAGCAGCAAATTGGCTACGTATCCCAGAAAATAGACTAAAGTTCACGGGCGCTCTAGACTCCCCGGTATTCATCAAGGAACGCCGTTTCACCATCATTATACCGTTCCTACCAATCACATCCGGTATCGAGGACGCAGAATGGCGACGTGCAGCAGAGGAAGAAAACAACCTGCCGACAGGCTCTATAGAAGCAGCGGGATGGATCAAACCCAGAATTCGGAGATCACCAGGACAAAAGGTAGCTCATGCCTTATTTCACTTTGCGGACCCAAAAGCAGCCAACATAACGCTACGCGACGGTATCTACATCGGTCAGGAGAAGTTTCACCCACGCAAAGATAAACGGGAGCCAGTAAGATGCGTCAAGTGCCAAACCTGGGGACACATAGCAAGAGACTGCAATGCCCCAACGGACACCTGTGGGACGTGCGGAAAGAACCATAGAACCAACGACTGCAACGCTTATCGAACCTTCCACTGCGTAAGCTGCAACTCACAAGATCACGCAAGCTGGGACAGAAACTGTCCTGAATTCGAAAATCGCTGCGCAGGAATCGACGCTAAGCTCCCAGAGAACTCTATGCCTTACTTCCCTACTGACGAAGACTGGACACAGGTAATGCTGCCTCCAAAACCAGCACCATATCGCAAGCCGGTCGAACAACCACCCTCCAACTATAGACCCATGCTCCACCAGTCAAATCTTCCCTTCGAAACCAGGAGACCTCACGGCAAACCTTCGCGAGGCATGCCCAATCATTTTGGCCGCTCTCACCACCGAGCCTTCACACCGACAGGCCCCAACTCGATCCCAATCTCCTCAGGCTGGGACATAGAACCTCCTCGAACAGCACCACAGAAACAGACTCCGTCTATGGCACCACACAACCCATCAACCCCCAATCACCCATCTCCATCCTCATCCTCGTCCAACAAACCATCATCCCCCTCCCGCTCATCCTCCCTACTCTCATCACCTCCAAACTCCCCACTATGCAATGACACCCCACGGACCCAGACCCCCCCTAATGTCTGAACGAACTAACAATATGACGACCAGACTACGAATTTGGCAGCAAAACCTTAATACTTCTTTGATAGCCCAACACTCACTCCTCAACAGCCCTATTGCCCGCGACTGGGATATACTAGCCCTGCAAGAACCTCACATTAATCGCACGAAGAATACAATATCGTCGCCCTACTTTCATGCGGTCTACCCCACCACCCGCTTCTCATCCCCAGAACTAACCTCCCGAGCTGTCACACTAATATCCAAAACTCTAGATACTAACTCCTGGCAACAGATCCCATTTCCGTCCCCTGACGTTGTAGTCACCCAATTTCGCGGACCCTTCGGACGTTGCACCATTTTCAACATCTACAACGACTGCAAACTAACGAAAACTCAAGAAGAACTAGCATCATTCCTCGAACGCGAGATCACCCGTCTACGTCCATCAGCGGACGACCACATGATATGGCTCGGGGACTTCAATAGACACCATCCCCTATGGGACGAGGACAGGAACACGCAACTCTTCAATAACCAGTATCTCAACGCGGCACAGCCACTTCTAGACCTCATAGCGGACTATGGCATGATCATGACGTTACCCAAAGGTCTACCGACCCTCCAATCGTCTAGCTCAAAGAATTGGACACGTCCAGACAACGTGTTTTGTACTGACCACACAGGAGAATCCTTTATAAGCTGCACGACTAACCCAGCCTTACGTGGACCAGCAACAGACCATGTGCCCATCCTAAGCATCCTCGAACTCGAACTCCCCCAAGCGACGACTGATATCAAGCACAACTACCGTGAAGCAGACTGGGAAGTATTCAACGAGGAACTAGAACTAGAGTTGGACAAGATCCTACCAGCTCAACCGCTCGTTACGGAAGCCGAATTCCAGACTGCGGCACGCACTCTTACGGCCGCAATCCAAGCAGTCATAGAACGAGTCGTCCCCAAGTCCAAGCCCAACCCCCACTCCAAGAGGTGGTGGACCAAGGACCTAACCATCATGCGTCGCGAGGTCGCGAAATTAAGCCATCTCTCGTACAAGCACAGAGACTTTGCAGGCCACTACAGCCACGAGGAGCACCGAATCAAACGCAATCAATACGCTGAAGCCATCAAACGGACCAAGAAGGACCACTGGATCGAATGGCTAGAGGACCTCTCAGGTAACGACATATGGACTGCTAACAGATACCTTACAGCAACAGCTAGCGACGGAGGCTTATCTAGAATCCCCACCCTCAAGCGATCAGGCGGAGGCACAGCCGACACCAACAAGGATAAGAGCGAGGCCTTAGCACAAGCTTTCTTCCCCCCCCCTCCAGAACACTCATCAGTACCGGAAGACTACAACTACCCGGACGCCGTCCCTACCCCGGCACCTATATCTATGACGCAGATCGAGCGTAGCATCTCAAAGTTGAGCCCATACAAGGCCCCAGGCCCTGATGGGATTTGTAATATAGTATTCAAACGTTGCACATACTTACTCCAACCTTACCTTCTCCATTTGTACAGGGCCGTATTCACACTCAAGACGTACTATAACCCATGGCGCGACTTCATAACCGTTGTCCTACGAAAGCCGGGTAAACCGGACTACACAGTAACGAAAGCCTTCAGACCGATAGCGCTTCTCAACACAACCGCCAAGCTATTGACTGCCATAGTAGCAGATGAAATGACCTACCTCCTAGAACGACACAACCTTCTCCCCAGCACACACTTTGGAGGCAGGCCGGGTCGCTCAACGACAGACTCACTCCATCTACTCGAAGCCACGATCAAGGACGCATGGCGCCAAAAGAAGGTAGTATCTGCTTTGTTTCTAGATATAGAGGGAGCCTTCCCGAATGCGGTTACTGACCGGTTACTACACAACATGCGTACCAGGAGACTCCCAGAAACACTGGTGAGATTCACGGAACGACTGCTGACAGGAAGGCGCACGCAACTCAAATTCGACGGACACTTATCGGATTGGATCCCTATTACTAACGGTATCGGACAGGGCGACCCTCTCTCAATGATATTATATATCATATACGACTCGGACTTGGTAGATATAGCCAAGGGTCACACGAAGACTGAACGCACCCTTGCATTTGTAGACGACACGGCATTTATAGCCATCGGGAAGACCTTCCAAGAGACTCACAATACATTGAAGAACATGTTGGAACGTAGAGGAGGAGGCTACGAGTGGGCCCTAGCGCACAACTCGAAATTTGAAACGTCTAAGTTCGCACTAATGGACTTTTCTCTGAATTCAGCTAAAGACCGGCCCCCACTAATCACGCGCGGTACCACGATCACGCCCACCGCGACACACAAATTCTTGGGAGTTATATTGGACGATGCGCTCAGATGGCAAGCTCACATAGCCTACACCATAGCGAAAGGTACAGCCTACGTCTTCCAACTTCGCCGGCTCTCCTCCACGTCCAATGGTATTCCACTCTCCCTGATGCGTCAGCTGTACCTATCCGTAGCACTACCGAAAATGCTCTACGCAGTCGACTTATGGTTTCGCCCTTTGTTTGTCGGCAACAACGACAAACCTCAACTGGGATCGATAGGAGTAGCCCGTCGTATAGGCCGAGTACAAAGACTCGCTGCCCTAAGTATTACAGGCGCCATGAGAACCACCGCTAATGATACCTTAGAGATTCACGCAAAGCTACTCCCGATGGAACACCGGATGCAAAACCTATGCTATCAAGCCGCAATACGACTAGCCGCGCACCCGAAGTCTCATCCGCTAAGCGAACCCGTCCGTAAAGCAGCCAAGAAGTATGTCAAACACCACCGCTCATCCCTGCATCATATATATCATGCCGCTGAACTCGACATCAACTCGGTCGAGACCATCAAACACAGCAGACGTCCCCCGAATGACAAGAACTCATACTCTACCCACATCGCATCGACAAGAGAACTAGCCATAGCAGCCCATAATGCTAACAACGATGAAGTAAAGGTCTACTGCGATGGGTCAGGGATAGACAAGAAAGTAGGGGCGGCGGCAGTACTGTACAGAAGAGGAAAACAACGCCCGAGTATCCTACGCTACCATCTTGGAACTACTGACGAGCACACAGTCTTTGAGGCAGAAGTCGTCGGTTTAACGTTAGCAGCTCAGTTGATCTCGCAAGAAGAAGATATCACGTATCCCGTCTCCATATTCGTCGATAACCAGGCATCAATTAAATCCGGTGACATCTTCTCCACCAAACCAGGCCATTACCTGACAGACCATTTCCGTAGTATATTGAATCAACTTAAGAAAACCAGCCGCAACCGAAACTTCAAGGTCAACGTTCATTGGATCTCAGGGCACGATGGAGTAGAAGGAAACGAGAAGGCAGACAAGGAGGCTAAGATAGCAGCAAAGAACCGCAGGGACAACAGCGCCACGCACAGACTGCCACCATACCTTCGGAAGGGAGTCCTCCCCAGTAGCCTGTCGGCGTTGAAACAGGCCCAGAAGAAAGATTCATCGAACCGCTGGAATAGAATTTGGCTAAAGTCCCCAAGACACGCTCACGCTACCTCCATCGACCCCAAGCTCAACGCTGCAAGCAAATCGTTCATCTCGCTAGTTCAACATCTACCTAAGCGGCACATCAGTTTAATGCTCTGGCTCCGCACCCGCCATATCTCACTCAATCAACATCTGCATCGCATTGGAAAAAGCATGTCCCCCAACTGCCCTCACTGCGTCGACACCCCAGAGACCGTCCAACACTTCCTCTTATCCTGCCCGCAATACGCACGTGAGCGTCACACACTCACCAATGTCCTCAAACGTCGCGCACTCTCCATTTCATACCTGCTGTCAGATGCCAAAGCCACGGACCATATCATTCGATACGTTAACAGTACAGGACGCTTGAAACCCACTTTTGGTGATGTCCCTCCCAGTACTCGCAAGAAATAGATAACGTCAGTTTGCCCCACAGAACAAACAAACATCCTACGCGTGCTTGCAACCCATGCAAGCACCTGGTAGCACTCGCTGACGCAGGGCAACACGCGCCAACCCAAGGCCAATCTGGAGATCAGTCGGAAGGAGACACATGAGTTGAGGAAGGGCTAGAACTTTCGTCGAAGAGCCACACGGTACAGCAGGGATCAACTCGCAGCACGTCGCGCCAGCCCAGTCTTACCTTTACCTTTCTATCCGCGCTCCACTTACTCCCCTCGTACAACGATCGCTCAGGCGGTCCGAGTATTTGTATATCCATTATCACACGTCAGGCCTACATACAAACGAGAAGTATCAGAAACGGCCCCGTGGAGTAGTAGGCTCGTGCACCTAAAACGGCCGGCGGGAACGGCGGACCAGTAGAGGCCATACCTCTATTGGGGCATTTGCAGAGCCGGAGACACGGCAGGGGACACAGGTGTCCCCCTTTCCTAGATAGAATTGTCCTACATAGGGTATTGTACCCCAATCGGACAAAAATTGGATTAAAAAAAAAAAAAAAAAAAAAAAAAACGGCCATACACATAAGGTGATATATGGTTCTCAAATGACTATAAACCGCAACCGTCAGATTTGACTTAACGGTACGTACGGTAACCGTACTACAGCACCGTATAATCTTGTTGTACGGCCTACAATGACTAGCCCTATATGAAAAGGTCACTATACCGACGACGACGACAGGAGAATCTTGGCATAATGTGTTCGGCTCCTTGATGAGGCCACTAAGACCAGTGGGAGTTATTCTCCTAACGACAACGGATGAGTCCGTAAGGTAGCCTGCAGTACTGTCGTTAAGGAGTAGAGGGGGAAGATACCGATGACCGGGGGAGAGGTTTGTCGTGGTATAACATGCTGGGGGCTCTCATCACGGCCTCTAGGACCGGGGGGGCTATCCTCTAACGATGACGGATGAGTCCGTGGGAGGGTGTTTCTTGAGGAATTGAGAAGCAGGCCTCAGAGAGAGGCAGGTCTCAGAGATAGGTTTCGTCCTACAACTTCGAAACCAAGTTCAAATCAAACGCGAGAACAGCAGAACAGTGCTTCGAAGGGTGAACTCTTGGCAGGTGCAGAAAGTGCTTGCAGACTGTCATCAGCTTGCACAGTCAGCTGTGCAGTATCGCTGTGGTGACCAGAACGAACGCATCAGCAGAAGGAACCAACAATCTTGGAAACGCGCTGCGATTCAAACCAAGTAGAAGAGGAACTTGAAGACCGAACATGCATGTACTGGCGTGAAAGAGTGCAAAGGTAATTGGAGTGCTTCGAAGTATCATATGTAAATATTAGTTTAGGCGGGGTAAGGACAATAAATATTCTTTTAAAAAAAGGCTTGTAATGTCAACTGGGTTTGAAAATATAACCGTAGACACACATACCAACTCAACCAAATAATCTGTTTTTGGCCTCGACCTGGACCGTCCGGATCATCGGACGCAAGGTACAGTCGACCCGAGAGCTCAGCGCTCAGTACTCAGTGCTCACCGCCATTCACTGCTGCTGACAGAGTGGCCGTCCGAACTCAGCGTAGAATGGACCCAATGACCGTCCAGTCGGACGCCAAAGGAAGGAAGGAAATCTACGAGCATCAAAACAAAACAACAGCATTTCATCATGGTAGGTTTTTACTTCTGACAGAATGAAATACAGGGATGTTGGGTTTAAAATTTGCCCGTCACGAATATTGTGTAAAGTGTTGAATTGTGGTCGCAGCAGTTGCGCAGCGTTTTCACGATGCCCTCGGCTATTAGGAACACCGAACTAGTTTCAACTAGAGAGGGAAGGTTCTCCTGATGGCATATCACAGGTATAGCCAGCTACCCATCACCATCATGTAACCGTCATGCTAATTGTGGCGATAGTATATTAGTACAAGCGCCTAGTGAGGCTGAATGCATGATGGTCTTATATATCTGGCACGAACGATACATCATTATCATCCCCCACTCGCTCACACACATCACTTTAATATGACTGTGGTCTTGAATGATCCGAGATGGTGGCCGATACTCAATTCAAATGTTTTTTTCAGCTATTGGATAGGTTCGTCGCATTAAGATGCCTTGATCTAACATTGACTTGCAGTTTCGCAGTTGCTGCCGGGGCCGTGGTGGTATATGATTGGGGTGAGCAGGACAGTGTTCGCAAACCACTGACATTCTCATGATATCCAGTACTAACACTCGGACAAGAGGTAGGTTGATGTCACTGTCGGAGCAACCAACTCGCTCAGAATGGTGTTATAGATCGAACTGATCTGGGTGAGTGACAGAGTCACGTATCAGAAAGAAAGTAACAGAATACAATGAACTTTGCACAGAAGCAACGCCGGTCTCTCATGACTGTGCTGTATTTGGTTGTGCGTACCTCATTGTGCTATAGCGTGTTTGGCAAGTCGTGCTGACTCCCAATGTTCTAGATACGCTATATTGGACTACCATATTCTGTGTATGTCTTGGAACCCAACAGATTGCCGCTGTGCTAATAGCCCATCTCTCGTTATCAGTATCAGTGTTCTGGGTATGTCTCATGCACTGTGTTCTATCCGTCTGACCGTGCAACACACAGTAAGTATGCCATCAGTCTCGCTGACAGACGCAGTGCGTATTCCACAACCATCTCATTCCCATCCCATCAATCCAATAATTTCTAGGGGTGAGTGAGATTCTGAAGAATGAATGTGGCTCAACATAATGACTCAATAGGTGTGAGTCGGAATGTTTGATTCTAGTACAAGGGTAATCACTAATTGGGTATTTCAGGCAATATTATGTACTACGCAACAAATGGGACAACTGTAGTCATAACTGCCATGTTGGGTGGTGAGTTACCCAGCTGCAAAACCTCTGTGATCTTAACTCGACTGAAACACGCAAGTCATCATGATTGCTCGGTTGCATGCCATGTATCAGAGATCTAGGATAATACATATATTCCTTGTTATTATCTTCCTGGCTGTAAACATTACCTGTGGAGTAATCGCCGCAATAGGACTCAAGGATACTGTATTGGGTAAGCTTTACTTGTTGACTTGAAGAACACAGCTCATCGGACAAATATCAGAGGAGCTGGTACTCTCTGGCGTGTATGTATGTGGTCTCGCATCTGCGGATGACGCCCAGATTCTGGGTTCAACAGTTTGGATACTCAATGCTGTTGTGGAGGAAGACCATCTTTTGGCCTTAATGCTTTGGATGCTCAACACTGTTTGGGAGGTCATCGCATTGTGTCTTTCACTCTGGATTGCTGTGAAACACTTCCACGACTTGCGACGACTCGGTCCATTGACAGGATCGATCGTCGGGGACTGTTTCAGAGTGCTGATACGATCTCACGTGCTTTATTTTGCAAGGTGAGCTTGTAATGTTGATGTGGTTATCTTTTGTCTCAGGTCCCGCATGTACTAGCTTTGTTTGTGTTTCTTGCCTTGAGCTTGCATCTCTCTCTCCAGAGCTCATGGTGCGCTAACCCTTTGCTCACATCTGCGTGTAACCACTGCTCATCATTTTCATTCTGCAGAATTCAATTTCTATCGGAACTCAGATACTTGTCGGTACTCTTCCGATCTTATTGGATGTGCAGATGTTTGTGCTGGGACCACGCCTCATCCTGAGCGTTCGAGAATATCATGCTAAGCTCGTGGCCGACTCCGATGCAGAAACTAGCATGAGATCGATTATCTTCCAGGAGCGCGAGCGTGTACATGTACCAACCAGCAGTGCTGTGTAGGGAAATGCTTGCCGAGTGTCACTGAGCGGTCTGCAGGGATGCGAAATTTGGTCGAGGATCCGTCGTGGTATCTATTTAACATATGGTGTTGTTGAAAGGCCTAGGCAAACCTATTTCTTACTGTCTTACTACTGGAATGAAGTAGCTACCCACCCGCGTTTGCACCGAGTGGCAAGCTGAAATTATGGCAAGTAACTAAGTCCTTGAAGCCGATGCTAAAATATAACGAGAATCTGCATAAGTCGCCTATACAACTGATTCTACGTCATAGTTGTACTACGACAGCATTTAACGATGCGACTGCAGCACGCGCGTAAGATTTGCGTCAGGGTCCTTGCAATGTTCCTCAATGAAGTTCATCCTGTTGAGCACGGATCGTCGGAGTAAAGCGCCGACTAAGATACAAACCCCGCCTGTTTATCAAGCTCTCTGCCCCGTGAGGCGAGGATAGCACGGTTGTGTTCAAAGCGCTGGATGGCACTCTCGCACAGCAAACAGGAGTAGTCTAGAGCGCCTTGCAAATTCAGGTCTTGTTCGCGCATGAGCACAACAATAAGATTATGTGTATCATGGCGAGATTGCTCCACATTGTAAGAGAAAACATCCTGTCAAGAGTGATATCAGCAGTGCCGACAACGTCTGACAAAGAATGAGAAACCACATTGGACCAAGTGATAAAATCATTGGCTGGATCTTCCACGGCTGTCATGACCGGATGTGACATTACTTCATCAGGTACTAGAGACCTGGTTCGGAGGCGAGTGAATTCCGAGGGCGAATGGAAGTCACAAAACCAGATAAACAACTCGGCTGCAAGAGGTGGGCCGGATTTGCGGCGGTAACGGATTCATATCATGTGCTATCCGTGAACCTGATTTCAAGAATAAGTCGCAGGAAGAGACGCAATAACATTCGCCTAGGCCTCAGCATGTTGACGTAATGTTTTTGGTACCGGCCGCAGCGGCATTTCCTTTGACGTACTGGAAAACATAGATGTCGATGTAAAATTGACAACATTATAGTCATCCAGAGTGGATTGCTATGTATGATGATGTTTACGACGTCAACTCGCTGATGTGGAAACCGTGAGCATTCCAATCGACGAAGTGCACGTGCTTACTCACATCAAGAAGACGACTTCGCATGATATCCTATACAAGAGAAAATGGACTTCGTGTCGATGTATTCAATTAGTCTCTAAATCATGCTCCTCGCGTGGCATCTCTCCTGCGGGGTTCCATAGACTTCAGAATATTCCTGCTGCATTTTATGACATAGCAATTGAATCCGCTTATCAGGAAGACTCACCAGGTTCTTGCTTTCAGAAAGAAATTGTTGTTCGATCGTTGTCCACCAGGAGGTGCTTGTTGATTTTGTAAAAGAAACCGCCGTAATATGTTGCTACATAGTAACCTAGAAGCGTGCAGCAAGTGGTCTGACCGGTCAGGCTGTCAGGGACAATACTTACAGTAACTTACTAGTGCTAAGTGGATCGTCATTAGGAGAAAGCTTACCAGATATTACGAGTCTTGAGTCTTGACTCCGCCAAATGCTATTGTATTGTGTCTAAAACACATTTGATACAATACAACAGCATTTCGTGGTACGGACTGTAGCTGGCCAAAGGTCGAGGAGAGATGCTGGGTTTGAAATTTGTAGTTCAACGTTGAACGTTGAAGCTAAGTCCGCCTTGTTACATAATACGACGGGCCACCTTTATCGTGATGTTCTGTTATGTATGTGCTAATTCTACAAACATACTATGGTTGACTATACCAACCTTAGTATAGCTGTCCTTGTCTTGACCGGGCCTAGTCTCTCCACTATCCTCGTGGTTTGCCTTATTACCTTCATGTATCCGTCACCTTACATGCGTCCACCTTGACCGACCGTTCATACTGCTTCTCCTTTCCCGCACAGCTGGTATAGTCGACTCGTCAATTATCTTTAACTAATGTCTTCATTGCTCACAGCCAGTCTTGAGCCGCCTCGAGTATTTGCACTCAAACTACGTGTCGTTCATCGGCCGTTCCGCTCGCAAGGTCAGCTCCCGCCTTTCAATTCTTCCTACCTTCGACAAGGAGGTGCCACCTGGGGACTTTTTAGATGGCATGGATGTGATATTAGATGCTCGGGTATGTATCTCATCGCGTTATTCCTGCTAAACATGTAGATTTCGTCATGCCACAAGCACCACACCGCTTCTACCCAGACACGCCATTTCAACCCTCGAGCACATTCTATATACCAACCACACTCTCCAGCATTAATCCAGCACCCAACTTTATCCACCGCCCGCGCACCCTCCAGCACCCTGCTATGTTCCCACCGTCTTTTACGGCACAGTCGCGGACCTCGTCACCGGTCGTCTATGCTCTCACTCTCGCTGTGTAGTCTCGCGCACTGGCAAGTATATTCTCCCTTCTCTTGTTTTTTTATATACTTTTGTACTAAGGACATTAAATAGACTGCTCCATCATCCTATCTGTCCAATTGGCACATCCGATCTATCGCACATGTTTTTAGCACTCTCCGTCACGTATCTCACTCAACAACCCATCCACCTGCAGAGGTCACGGTCTCCGATTTTCTCAGCATCCACTGCCTCCAACCGCTTCTTGCCTCCGTTTCTTCGCTGTGCCGTTTTCCCTTACTGCTCCTCATCATCTTCTAGCATCTCCTGCCATGTTCACAACTATCCATTCATCATTTAACCTGCTGCGGCTACTGACGCTTTCTCGTGGGCCGTGGCTGCCGTGGCTGATAAAACCTACCACACACTTTTGTACCCACTGTTTAGTGATGACAAGTCAGCCGGCTGGTTCATCCGTATTTGCGTGCGCTTTCCAATGTGTTGCGAGAAACTCGCATTTTGGTCTATCTTTTCTACTGATAATCCTACCACTACTCACCAGCCGGGCTCCGGGATCCTGCGAGTCTTGTGAGAATCAAGTTACTTATGCCCACCATGATGGCGAACGCACGTAGGCAGAATGGTTACGAGTCTAGGTTCTATTCTGGGCACTAGGAACTTCCTTGTTGCTGGCCACATGCTCTGGACTCTGCATTGGCGCCTTGAAGGATATGATTAATATAAACTCATTCAATTATTCTCTTGAAATGCAGCACTGAAGACTAATAGTAGTGCGTTCTAACTCTCAAGTCCTCCAGATTTACTTCGGCTTTCTGGATTCTGAGATGATATGAAAATCCATCACTGAAGTAGACCGCGACAGATGTGCATGTGTCGGTCAAATATCAGTGGCCAATATTCAATTCCAAATCAAGTTGATTTTCTGTTATCGATGGCTTATGTCGTCCCGCAGTGTCATTCAGCGTTCCATTTATCCTCAATATGCACTAGTACTAACTACTGGTAAGAAACATTATTTTTGTCAGTTTATGACAACTCGAGCAAGACACGTCAGAACTCCGGAAGCGACAGGTAACAAAATCCCATAGCGGACCAAGAAAGCGAAGAAAGGCCACGGTGGCACTGACCGCGCCTCGAGATGACTCGGATGCCCGCGGGTGCAGTCACTCGTTCGGAAGAAAGGAAAACAACATTGCACCGGGAGGAATGAGACTACAATGTAGAGGTGGTTGTTTAACGACAAAGAAGATATACAGTCGTTGATACAATATATGGAAGACCTGATTTGCAGACCGGGAGTATGATGATACCGCCTGACCGTGACTTTGTCAGCGTGTATATAAATATAAGCATGCTCGACTCCATGGTTCGTTTGGAGCACTGGGAGGTTCCAAGTGACTAGCAGTTGATGCTCACTCACCGTTTGGTAGCACCAGCAACAGCGGTCGCGGCAGTTGCCGCAGTACAACCGCAGCAGCATTTTCATGACACCGCCCATTCTATTGCTGGATTAGGTACATAGAGGAGAGCTTCCATCACAACTGGTTCTTCAAGATACCTTCCAATATCGGTCGACTTCATGTCTTATCTGCGTAGTTGGTTTTCGCTTGATACCTCAAGTCCCGTGACCACAGTTGAGCCCAACGACTCCTACCCAAACCAGTCACTTCCAGTCCTACAAGTTAATGAAGATGACGAGGACGATGGATCAGACACGGCAGGTGAAGACGACGCACCGCCCGCTTTCCCAGCGATCAACAGTGCACAACGTGCTGCTACTTCGCCTTCTTCATCTTCAGACTCATCCAGGGGATTCAGCATACCAAACATACTCACCGACTCTGCATTGATGCCCCCGCCGCCTGCGCCCAACCTTGCTACACGCCGACCAGGTGTTCCGCCTCCACAGAGTTCATCGTCTCTTCTTGCACCTATGACTACGACTCAACCACCCAAACGACTTTCCAGACGGGATAAAGTTGCTTTAGCGCCTGGATTTGGTCCTCTTGATTGGGGAAATCTCAAGGCATCTGGCCAGAACTTACGCGTAAGCAAGTCGATGGCGTCTCTAGTGCGATGTAGTGAGATTTTATCAGGGAGTCGATGCATTAATGCGCATCCCACCATCTGTGCTTAAGTTGCACAACAAGAAAGAGGATGCTTGGACAGCGATCAACGGGAAGGTCTATAATATCACACCCTACCTCCCATATCATCCAGGTGGTGAAAAGGAGCTCATGAGAGTAGCGGGTAGAGATGGAACTAAGTTGTTTTGTGAGTACTTGTCATATCTTCATATAGGCTGCATCATTGAACGGGATAACTTAGCCCTGACACATGCATGGGTGAACGCGGACTTCATGCTTGATGCATGCCTAGTCGGATTTCTAGTTTCAGAGCCAAGCTAATAATTGATGGGACGTGACGTTGCATATAATTGTTTAAACTAGAACTGCATGCTGCTATCGATATCTGTACCCGATCATCCGATCACTTGCTGTGCTATGACGGGTGCCGCATAGGTACTGTGATGTACTTGGCGCCCAAACCGGACCGCCACGAGATGGACATTTGGGCTGTGATTGCTTGTGTGTTCTTCTTCTGCTAATTTTGATGCAAGGCCCTAACAGGTGACTACCAGAGTTATCGCAATCGTAATATTTAGTGTCGCAACTCACTACAAGATTATGGAAACATCCTATCACCTTGATCCGATAGAAACGTTGCCATGCGGCTGAAGGCACCTCTGGAACTCGGTCGTCCGTCGAAGAACGCAGAGAACCGACAATCGTCATAATGTGCTTCAGAATATCTACTTTGATTATATCGCATCCCAAAATGGCAAGCGAGTGATGTGGTTGCGCAATATGACCTTCGACTGGCACCATACTCCGCATTGAGTTTCAGGGAGCGGTCGCCTGACCTATTTGTTCCAATATAAAGTACGAGGAATTTGTAACGCAAAAGCTGACAATATATTCTTTCCTTTCAAATCGCATCAACATGGCACCAGTAGCTATCAGTGAAGAAAGCAGCAATGGAACTATCGGCAGTGTTGCAGAGTCGAAGAAAGTTCAAGCTAATCAACGGATAGAGGAAACTCGGATCATAAATCCCTTCTACTCGCCCAGTGCTGGTAACGAGAACGACGATGACTATTCGTATGCCAAGTATAAGGTGAGTGACTTTGGATTTCAATCTCACAGGCAAAGACTGATGGTTTACCAAGCCCCGCTTCCCCGTTGTGAATTGGGAACCGCTCACAGAAATTGAGGTCACCGACCGCGGCCACTTTGCAGATTCAAGCAAGACGGCTCTCTTCAGTGCTGCACAGAAAGTGAAACATCTTACACCCGCCATTGGCACAGAGCTCGTTGGCATCGACCTCCGCCAGCTAACGGATCAACAAAAGGACGAACTGTGGGTACCATCTACACGACTGCAACTATGTTCTAAAGAGTTTATCATTCCAGCGCCCTTCTTGTTGCGGAGAGAGGCGTTGTTTGTGAGTGAACCTAAATAGGTCTCCTACTTGGTGAACTAACACATCCCTCGCGTAGTCTTCCGAGACCAGGAGCTCAGCATCCACGAGCAACTTGACATTGCTAGACACTTTGGACCCCTTCATAAGCACGCGACGACCCCCGTCCCTCGAGAACCAGGACTTGAGGAGGTCCATGGTGAGTCAGATTATTCAAAAAACTGTGCGACTGTTAATTTCATCCTTCAGTCGTTTACAATGACGCTTCCCGACGCCCTGACGCTAGCGCGTTTTCGAAGATCGAGCTTTGGCACAGCGATGTGACATACGAGATCCAACCGCCAAGTACCACGTCTTTGAAGGTGATTACTGGTCCCGAGTATGGCGGTGACACGCTCTGGAGCTCTGGGTAAGTAGCAGAAGATGTCCCGCTGTGCAAAGAAGTTATCCTGATGATCACGTACAGTTATGCTCTTTATTCCTCCCTCAGTCCAGGCATGCAAGTGTACCTCGAAGGTCTTACAGCTCTGCACAGCGCCGTCGCGCAAGCGGATGGATCTCGCGCGGCTGGCCTCCACGTCCGTCGCGAACCTGTTGAAAGTATACATCCTGTCGTTCGTGTCCACCCAGTAACTGGCTGGAAGAGCGTTTATGTCAACCCTGGCTTTACTCGTCGCATACTCGGCGTCCCCAAACCTGAGTCTGACACCATTCTCAATTTCTTATTCCACCAGATCGCCGAGAATGTTGACTTCCACGTGCGCTTCCACTGGGAGCCGAATTCAGTCGCGTTTTGGGATAACAGGGTCAGTGCTGTTTTTACTTGACGAAGAGCGCAGAGTTTGACCAGATACTAGATTGTGACTCACACCGCAACTTTCGATTTCTGGCCTCAAACTCGCCATGCACTCAGAGCTACGCCTCATGGCGAGAAACCCGAGTCTGTTGAAGACTACGAGAGCCGGACAGGCAAAGTGGCGAAAGATCGCCAGATTGAGATCTGGAAGGAGCAGGGAGTCGAGATTCCTCAGTCGAAGAAGGGTCTGTCTCGGGCACGCGGATATAATGACTGAGATGTTAGTCTATGCTTTGATTTGCAGAGTATGATAGAAGTTCAAGCCACTGTGGCTTTTAGACAGAGCGAGTGCACAGTTACGCAGCAAAAGCCTTTGATCCAAACAACCTTGGGAACACCGCTACATAGAGACGTTGACTCAGGCTCTGGCTGATAGCAGAACTACTACTAGTGAGTACTTCGATGTGCCCTTTGCAGCCAGTCTTTATTTAGGTTTGAGCATACCATCCACCAACACAAAAGTATACGGAGTTCCCATCTCGACAAATGCCCACTTTCAAGTTGAACTCGAAAACTTGAGCACATAACGTGCGGTAGCCCTGCGCCATTGAGTTCATTGCGTACCAGGCTCGCCTCAATCTCTGACAGGTAACCATACTCGAGACTTTTGGCGTCGTACTTGCTTGATGGTCCCTCGTGAATCGCGACATTGTGCTCAAATTATAGACTTTGTATCGTAAACACATTACGAGAAGACCACAAAATGTTGAGATGCAACACTGAAGTGCTCCAGTCAAAATACGAGCAGACAAATTATATGGTTCTTCCTCCTTATTAGTCCTCAAACATCACAAGCGAAAATGATACACACATATGGTAGTCATAGGCTCTCAGAACCCTCGCCATTAATTGCATTGTTGAAACTTAAGCAGCACTTTGCCAGACGGAATAGTTGTTTTCCGTCCCGATCGATCGCAAGCAATAGCGGAGTAGAGATACCATCTCGTGCTGTGGCACCCAGAAAATCGGCAAAGTTGCGCAGGGCTCTTGTGCGATGACCGATACGTCCTGAAGTCTCCGCGTCCATATCTGAGTGATCCTCGAATCCTCGTAAAGCGCGTTCGTAGTCGAGCACACACCGGATCAGATGAAAGAATTTTCCTCCGTCCCGCTCAACAGCCTCCAGAATGCGATTGTCCGTTTCATTCTCGCGGAGGCTGTCAAGCCAGTCAGCAAATTTGGAACAAAGTGAGGCGATCTCTATGTCTGGGCTTGAGTTTGAGTTTGAGAAATACGATGATTCATCAGAAGAGCGATGGCCATCGCTCTTGTAGCCTTTCCCGAACTGGATGTTTTCTCAGAGTCAGTGTAACACTTGTGGAAACTTGAAAAAACCTACCTGTTTCCTTGGAGGCTGGCGTCCAGTGGATTTGCGAGCGATATTCTTCCGGTGGCGCTTCACTCCACCAGGGATGGAAGTTGGACTTGGATGAGAACCTGACACAGAGATGTTGAACGACATGTGAGTGTGTGGCACAAAGCACTAAGCAGGGACCTCGTGTTCAAAGTGCGCGTCCAAGTCTGCACGTGGGAGTGAGTGGCTGTTATGTAACAATTGTATTAGGCGTGTATTCCTCAGGTACGGTAAATTGAAGCGTCATACTCGGACATTGCCATGCACGTCGCACCCCATAGACATGCTATGAGAGGTTCAGTACACCATGAACTGCACTCACATCTTCCCCACGTCTCTTTGGAATCAGGTACAAGACCGCCAATATTAATTTTCAAGATTGGGTTCGGTTTCGAGGCTCCAGAGGAACGTTCGACTAGGTTCTCGCAAGCGCACTTTTAGCATGGCTTGTGCAGTCTTCCCTCCTTGCCAACCATCCGAATCGGGTTCCAAGAATGTTATGACCAGGTCAGGTGAAGTTTTCGGAGACTCGCCATATGAGTTACTGAGAGTATGTGACAACCTCGGCATTGCCTACGACGGTCAGCGGCTAGAAGGTGTGTACAACCGACCTAAACGAACAATCTAGACTTATGTTAGACCAGCGGACGTGATCGATAACAGGGCATATGGTGTAGCTGGTTATCACATCCGCTTAGCATGTTGCTGGAGTGCGGGGGGTCTCCGGTTCGAGTCCGGATTTGTCCACTGTTTTGCTCAAGAATCATAGGCCCAGCTGTACAATGTTTTATCGAATCTTCATCAAATCGAATTTTCAAAGATCGGTCGCCGACTCGCCGATAATCAATGCGTCTATCCTTTCTTGTGATACATCAGTGAATTGATGAGTCCTCGATATTGTAGCCGTGAGAAGTATAGCACGATGTAATTCTGCTGCCGCCAAATATTAGCTTTTATACTGCGAGCAATTTGAGTCGCATATACATACTCATATATGCTTGTAAATCCAGCTTAACATGAATAATCTATGACAATGCTGGGACATTCCGCCTTTGCAGCCAATGAGTAGTGATAGTATACCTGAGCCAATCGTTTTGAGCTTTGACATCTCACCTAGTCTCGTTTTTTAACTACAATGTTATTTAAGGCCTTTTCAAGGAAAGAGCCTCTGACATTTGTCAATAAATCTAGAATACCATCAGATTTAGCCACAAAGCTATGACATTTCTCCGTTTCAGACGATAAGGGGTGGTATTAGACTTATCCCAACTATTTCGTGCATTGCCGTTTGGCCCTATTGATTTGTTCCATTACAATGCTATTCAAGCCCTTCTCGTGAAAACTACATCAAATATTTTACAGCAGTGCTCTACAACACTCAAACGACAAGTCTGAGGCAACGTCGACTTTAAAAGTTTCAAAAAGTTGTGACATGTTGAAGTCACAGTACCGTATATCAGTGGTTTTCGAGCGCATATACGAAATGAAAATTTATCGATACCGAACAATAGTAGTACACGAGCGACGAGAGATGGTCTGAAGACTCCGTGTCAAAGTCTGGGGGACAGGTTGTCCAGAAAGTGCCAGGAAGTCTATGTTTGCTGCCCGCCGTATTATGCCATAACTTAGCGTCGGTATCTCGCCATCAGCCTCTCCCGCCATTTCACGTTGCCCACCGTGCTCACAGACAACATACCATCGACTACAGCTCCACAGCTGCCAAGTATTCCAGGTGCCATCCTGCAGATGTCATCAATCGGACTCGTCATTGATTGCACCTACTGATACGTGACACAGGGATGGCTGAAGTGCTGATGGGGGGTGGTTGATGTAGATGGCAGGGGTGGCTAGCCACTGATGGGGGTAGCTGATGGGATCAGTGTCGCAGTAGCTGACGTAGATTGTGGCGGCAGTGATGATGTCAGAAGTTCGGAACAGACAACCTGGAACTTGCCGACAAAACACACCCAGACATGTCCCCCAGACTTTGGGGCGGAGTCTGCGCAGACTTAACACAGACCGGCCATTTCCCACATGCCCTCCACGTTCGAAGGTCTGCGCGGAATGCGATTCGGTGGAATCTGAAGCGTGAGCCATCGCGCCGAAAAAGGTAATCGACCTCATCGACCTCGTCGATAGCATCGATCTACTACGTCCCATAGAAATCATATCTGGACGTCAAATCGAAAACACTTACCTTGAACGATGGCACCTCAGGATGAGGTGAGTATTCCATCGTGGTGTCCGATCAGACGCGCTGACTCTAAGTGGTGGATCAGCGCTGCTGCAGCATTGATCGTGCAAGAAAGATAACCAGGGAGAGGAGTGAGAGGGAGAGGGAGGGAAGGAGAGCGGGGGAGGAAATGAGGAGAAGGGAGAGGGAGAGGGAGAGGGAGAGGGAGAGGAAAAGGGAGAGGAAAAGGGAGAGGGAACGGGAGAGGGAACGGAAGAGGGAGAGGGAGAGGGAACGGAAAAGGGAGAGGGCGAATATCTTGCGGTCAGCACAAACGTTTGGTATCGTGTCGAGGTGGCGGCGTGGATTGTTGACCGTTCTGGGATTTGGGAGGGGGCGCAGCAGCGTGTTTGCCGCAGAATAGATACTCTTGCAAGGGTGATTCGTGCCTAACAATACCGCGTGCTCACTTGTGAAGAATATAATTAAATTTTGGCCGCTACTTTCAATACGAAGTCAGACATACGATAAACGAAAGATCCCACATCTCTATCTTGAAAATGTATCCTGACAGTTCCGGAGAGCACCAGTTTGCTTGAGGTGGTTTGGCATGAGGGTTCACGGTGTAGTCAGTCACATACAGGGTGTCAGGTGCACTAGTGTTTTCATAGCTGTGCAAAATCTAGATTTTTGTCAGCTCCGCATTTACGACAAGTTGTCTGTAAACTCACTTCGACGGTGCAATCGATGGAAATATGCCTTTGAATCAGAGCTTTCAACCTTGAAAATAGAAAAAGAGACGAGACAAACAATCAGAACGGACAGGATGATAATGGGGAAATACCTTTAACTCAGCATCCTTGGGCAAAGCATTCTTGGGTACTGCCCACTCTGACGGGGCGTCAATTCTGTCAGGAACGCGGAAATGCCGGGCTTGGGTATCATAGGTGGTCCAGGACAATGCGGGGCGACAAGGGTGATCTTTATACTGTCCTGACGTCATGCTAACAGCATCAATCGAGCTACAGTTCAGCCATCTGCCAGCCTGTTTGATTAAGTTCCATACGACCTCTGGATTGTTAGGAAGTGCAGGTAAGAAAATTCGGAGTGATGATGGTGATCTACCATTCCTCGTGTTTGACGCCTTGAAATAGGGAATATACTGCGCATCGTGATCATGAGAATAGCCCTTCAACTTGAAAGACTGGGAAAACGCACTGGAGGACATGTGAGGGAGCTTTCCGGAAATGTAAACGACAGTTAAACATACAAAATATCTTTAAAGTTGTGAGCTGCTAATCTTTCCATCTCTTAGGTATTGTTTGCGAACTTACGAATTGCACCGTGGTCAAAGATCGGAAGCTGGCACAATCTAAGGCGAAATTGCGAAGGTGACAACTCATTAGTCCCATGTGCCTTTCGTCCAGGAAAGTAACCAACTGAGCACCCCCAGGGAGTGTTGCGACCTCAGAACGCTGGATAGTATGATGCCGACAGCAATCGTCGCTGTGTACTGTGCGTTATCGGAACTGTCAAGTGGAAGGTTGGTAGATGTTGAATTTGGGGCTGATGCCTTTCGAGACCGGTATGACGCACTGCAGGATTATATTAACCAGAGAGTCGCCCATGATGTAGCGTTTTCGGAGCGATGGAAAGATTACGAGCAGGTTACTCGTGCTAGGTTGCTTGAGATTTAATTAGTACTCATACTCGATCGCGATGATAACGTACCTTGCTACAAACTATTGAGCTCCTCGATGCAGGGACCGGGCTAAGTATTGGGGATTACCTGACCGGTTTTCCTCCACCAGTCTTATCTATGGATGGGGTGTCAACATTTCCGCGGGGATTCCAGGGTGAACCAGAACCTCTGGGGGAGCCCTTACCACATCCTGTCAATCGCAACCACGGACCATCGAAGAGAACTCATCCATTTCTGTTTCACCCATATTCACACCAACCCGGGAATCACGAGGCAAGTGCAGCGGATGTGCAGCAGCTGAATTACTGACGGAGTCATGGCTGCATAGTCCCAAGCTCCCGAGTCTGGACCATCCATAGTCCAACAACCACTACTCCCCTCGTA